ACACACACACACACACACACACACACACACACACACACACACACACAGAGGAGAGAGAGAGAGAGAGAGAGAGAGAGAGAGAGAGAGTGTAAAATGGTAAAAATTTCTTGGCATTTTTTTCTCTAATAATGCCATCCAATGGAACTGTATTTCTGCTTTTGGTAACACCTCAATGTGATTTTTCTAAGCAGGTCTGAGGTATGGGGGTGAGGAATTCTTGGGACTCTGGTCCAAATACTGAAGTAAAAGGAGCTCTAATCAGCTTGCCAGGGGTCACCCAGGGTCCAGGTGAACAGTGAGGTCACCAGAATTGTTCAGTCTGAGCAATAAACTCCTGGACAAAGAAAGTTCTAGCTGGAGATCCTGTGATAGTCATGGTCTCTGCCCAGAAGTTATCAGCTTGGCCTAGATATATACATGAGCAACTTGCTTGGGACTCTTTCATTTCCTACTAGTGTCAAGAAACATGGTCTCTGGCTCTTTGTTGGTTTTTTTTTTGTTGTTGTTGTTGTTGTTGTTTGAGCTCTCACTCATACCTACCCCTCATTTTTTGGAATCAGACACTGTCTTTGGGATTCTGGACTCTGCTAATAGACTTGGGGATTTACCAGAAATTCTAACGAGAGGTCATATATTTGTCAGTCCTTTCCATCCTCTTTTATTATTTCATACCTTTCACTGTTCACCCTTCTAACCCTCTCTTCAGTCCTTCCTTTTGTCCTTCTTCCTTCAATCCCTTTCTTACTCCCATACTTAGATCCTCAGGATACCCCTACTTTGTTTTCTACCTTTCCTTTCTCTCCTTTCTGTCTTTTGACTTTATTTCTTTTGTGATTTTGCTGTCCTTAAGGACTGTTGCAGATAAGAGTTCTGTCCAGTACCTGTGACCCAAGGATTCACCAACAAAACTAAGTCCATAGTATAATCCATTGTTATGGGGAATAGTTCCAAGGACGGGAACAAGTGGGGTAGCTTTGTGTTGTGAGTCAAGTGAGCATGTAACAGCAAGAAGCAGAAGGCAGTGTTCTTTCTTGAGTTGTATCTGAGTAGACACACCCATTCAAGCAAGGAAGTCAGATGTGACCTGGGAGAGAGGCCACAGGGATTGATTTTACTACCAGTGCCTGGTTAACAAAACTCACTAAGCTATATAACTTACAGACAAGCAAGTCACCACTCTTGAAGGCTTCTCTTTCCAAGGCTACCTTGCTCAGCATTCCCAGAGAACACCCAGGGTCAAGTTCAAGAAATACCCCCTCTTCCTATGTGATCACTGTCCCTCTGTTGGAATACTGGATAGAATAGGACCCAACTGTGACATGTGACAGAAGATGAGCTTTCCTCAACCCAAGGGTGAGTTAGCTGGGAAGTATATATGCGGAAAGTGCCAAGACCAGTCAATTAGATGTGGGTTGCCTTAGACCAGTGAGAAACCAGAGCAGGTCTGCCTCAAGGGAGCTCATTTGCCATTATGAGAAGGGCTCCCCCAGCTGGTAGATGGTAGAGATGGAGCCTTTGAAAGCAATGGCAGAGGGCTTTCTGGAGGAAGAAAGGAGAGCTTTTGTTTATCCCTGGGCAGCACAGAAAGTCTGCAATGAGGAGGTGGGCCTCTGCAGCTTTAATTCTTAAAGAAGGCTTCATGTTGCGTAGTAAAAAGCATTTCACCCGCTAAAGTGTTAATTCTCCAGAAATCCAATGAAATCTATCCTTATTGGACACACACAGAGTGAGAGACAGACAGAGACAGAGAGAGAGAGAGGCAGGTAGTGAAACACATTCCTTCTCCTAATACCCGTAACTGTCCCTGTGTACAGCTCTAGGAATAAAGAAGATGAAGTGAAGTTGTGTTTCAAGTTTCTTTTGAAGTTGCCCCAGTTGCAGTATAAAGATGTGTTTTGGTATCCTGTTTTGGTGCTGGCAACCTGGCAGGAGCCAAGAGGACTGGTGTCTTTAATCAAAAAGCCTTCCTTTATGTTTGTGCAGGGCCTCAGAAATGAATATATGATGTACATAATAAAGAAAGCTCCATATCCTAGAAGGACTTTGTGTCCTTTGGACAAACAAAAAAGTAGCAAATATCTTGAGTGGGTATGGGCATTTCGTGTCTAGGGAGCTATAGTTTACACATAGTGAGATCATAACTATTGCTGGGCAAGCCCAACAAAATCGACTGGGACTTCACCTCAACGCCTGGTAGACAAGTAGCAGCTGAGATGAAATAAGAGTTTTATTATATTTTTTTATCCTCAGATCATGGTTCCAGGGAGTCTCCTATATCAGCAGAGGCTGGGGATGACACCATCCAAAAACACAATGCTAGCTGAGGTCTCTAGTCAAGAGAACCAAAGGGCCTGGCTGGCAAATGTCCTCTCTACTGTGATTCTTATCCATGGTTTAATTAACTGGTTAATGCAACTTATGTGCTCTTTGTCTTCTGTTATCATGAAGTCTGCTTCCAGGTATGATTCCATTGCAAGTCCTGAGATAAATTGGGGTGGTTGTCCCCCTCGTACTAACTGCCCACCTTCTTTGAAGGTGAAATTTGGTTGTGGCGTGGCTAGATAATGTCTATACCTCACCTTTGCAGTATTTCCCATAACACTGGGAAGTACTGGGGACCTGATTCTGGTGCTTACAGGTTCCAGACAGAGTTCAACTTAGAGAATTCCTAAAGAACAGCAGAAATATAAAGGGAATAAAAAGAAAGCTGATAGACAGAAAATACAGAAAGCAAGGATGAGAAAACAAAGCACTGACTAAGCAAGGGAGAGAATGAAAAAAAGGAGAGAAGCCTGTAATCCCAGCACACGGGGAGGCAGGCAGATCTCTGAGTTCGAGGCCAGCCTGCTCTACAAAGCAAGTGCAGACTAGCCAATGCTAAAACAAAAACAAACAAACAGAGAAGGAAGAAAAAAAAGGAAAGCAGGATAGACAGAATGATAAAGGAAAGGACTGTCTAATTTGTGACCTCTAGATGGAATTTCTGGGGACCCGGGAACTCATGAACAAAGACAACAATCCCTTATTTCAGGATTATGCAGATGGGTATCTAAAATAAAATCAAAGTTTAGGAGCAACTGGGCAGATTCTATACCTTGACAAGCAAGTTGCTCACATAACTGCACCCCAGTTGAATCCAGAGCAGTGTTCCTCATCACTGTGCCAAACATGGCTGCAATGAGATCGCAAAGCCTGTATTGCGGACTAGCTCAATCTATGGAAGCCCGCATTGCCTCAAGGGCCATGGGGGTGATGTCACTGAGCAGCATTCCTGGACCGCTGGGGGTCGTGACTGCAAGCGGTGGGGTACTGAATACTGAGCACCGAGAAGAGAGCATGCAACATCTAGAAGGGAGCAGAGATCACCCAGCACCAAGCAACTATCGCCGTTCCCCTACCCCTCCTCTGGCTTTCCTGGTCTGACGCGACCACCCTATCCCAGCTCCCCGGCGGACCCATGAACCGGTCAAAGCCAGTTCTTTCTGAGAAAAACTGCAGCGGGAAGAGGCGGGGCGTAGGAAAACGAAAGGCTGTGGGCGGGGGAAGTGACGTCAGAGACCTCCCGGAATCTCTTCTCCATCCCGTCCCACCCATAGCGCCCTCGCCCTGCACATCTTCCTGAATATTCAATCACGAGTGGCTTATGAATATTTAAAGATAACGACCTGCGGGACCCCCTTATTTGCATACTCATATCGCAGAGACGCTTTATATATGTGCAAACGAGGCCAACTAACATGCAAATGAGCACCGGCCCCTGGACTAGTGGGAGTGTTTGTATATGCAGATAATATGCTAATGAAGACGGGACTTTGCCCTTTCACACCAAAGCAAAGGTACTGCCACCCCCGCTTTCTCCCCTCGGCTCTGACACTTATCACTGGCAGTGAGGAGCGGAAGCTGAGGCAGGAGGATGACAGTGATGACGGCCGCCATGAGGGGCAGTCCGATAGACGGAGGGATGGATCGAGCCGCGCTCCTGCCATGCGTGGGAGGTTTTAGGGAAGTCGCGGCCCCAGGACAAGGAGACGGAATCCGTGTGAGTGATTGAAGATCAGCGAGCGGTAGTAAAATCACGTGGGCGGGAGGATGAGGAAGGGGAGGGAAGGTCAGAGGAATGGGGGTTGGGGAGAGAAGAACAGATGCACACACCCTAGGACACGCCCAGAATACCCCGTTCGCGCCCCCACGCACCCACCAGCGCCGCGTTTCACAAGATGCTATGCAGAACCCAGGCGCTCCTTCAGACTCGGGGTGTGAAGAGTTGTCTTGTGTTTCCCCCCACTGACCTCAAAGGGACAACCCGGGAATTTGTTGGAGGGAGAGGGGACCACGTGACTTCCGTCCTGGAAGTGGGAGGGACCTGGTATTGTGGGGGTTGTGGGTGCTTGTGACTGAGTGACTGTGGATGCTTATTATAGATTGTCAGGGGAAGCCCCGCTCCACCAGTGGCCTTGTTCGATGACTTGCTGCCTACAGGAGGCTCCCCCTCTGCTTCCCATCAAACCTTGTGATCAGTATTCATTCCATCACCTTCAGGCCCCGCCCCTGTTCCCCTTGGGTGAGGTCATCAGGGTGCAGCCATCCTGTCCCTCAACCATTTCCATCCCTCTTGTGTATGATGTCACTGCAACTAATGAGTGAGGGCCTGGCCTTGACAGCTGTCAGTCACTCCGCTCTGGTTTCTCCTCCTCCAGCTGTCAATCAATCACGTGTGTGTGTGTGTGTGTGTGTGTGTGTGTGTGTGTGTGTGTGTGTG